AGACTCCTGGAGAAACCGTTGCCTAAGTAGCCCAGAAATACCCATACCTACTGCAATAGACCTATGAAAAAAACATTTTAGAATTAATATAATTGATGCACAAGAAATCTGTCTTCAAGTCCTAGGAAACTGCTACTCCTGCTCAGAGTCAATACCCACCCCTTCCCCCTTAACTTCACCTGCCAGGAGAGCACAGGGCCCACACACCCTGAGAAACACACCTCCACCAAGGTAACATGTTCCACCAAGGGAACATGTTCAGCGGAGAGCCACAAAAATGATCCAAGGGCTGGAGCAGCTCTGCTGTGAGGACAGGCTGAGGGGAGTTGGGGCTGTTCAGCCGGGAGAAGAGGAGGCTCTGGGGGTACCTTATAGCAACCTTCACCATACCTGAGAGGGGCCTACAGGAAATCAGGGGAAGGACTATTCACAAGGATTTGTAGTGACAGGACAAGGGGTAATGGCTTCAAGCTAGAAAAGGGTAGATTGAGGTTAGACATTAGGAAAAAGTTTTTCAGTACGAGGGTGATAACCCATTGGAATAGGTTGCCCAGACAGGTGGTGGAGTCCCCATCCCTGGGGACATTCAAGATCAGGCCAGATGAAGCTTGGAGTAGCTTGATCTAGTTGGAGATGTCCTTGCTTATGGCAGGGGGGGTGGGGCAGATGACCTTTTCTAGCCCAGACATTCTATGATTCTATGAAAAACTATCACATAAGTTGTACTGACAGACTAGGGCTCCCGCCTTTCTTTGGGATAGGACAGCACTGCTTTCTACTCATAGTCATTTAGAGTAACAAGTGGCCAAGAAATAAATAAGGAAAAAAACATTTTGAACCCTCTTTCTCACATGCAGATACAGACATACACATCCACACCATCACAGGTTCATCTCCTTCCTTAGAATCTTACAGTCCTGAAAGCAGACTGTCTTTCCTTTATTGCCTTTTAAGCCCCTAGTGAGAGGCACATTGCCAAAACTCACGAACAATAAATCAGTAGCCATAAAGTGATTTTATTATTTTTGAAAAAATGGAATGTTTCACAGAGAGAAACTTTTAAGAGATGTTTGAGCAAGAACAGGTTTATTACAAAAAAAAAACCCAAACCAACAAGTTGACATAGTATTTGGCTACAATGTGACAGCAGTCTTGGGTCTTGTAATCACAAATTCAAGGTGACCCTGGTTAATAAAATTCACCACCATTGTCATCTGGCATTAAAAAAAAAAAATAAAATATATATGTATGTGTATATATATAGTGCTTTCAGTAGCGGCGGGTGAAACGGGGTTCAGCTGGTCTATTTGTCCGCTCCTGGCCCATGAACACTCCTTGTACTCCACTACTATGCATCATCTGGCTCTGGTTTCCAACTTGTGAGAAGCCTCCACGCCTAAAACCAAGACCAGATAAATTGAAAATTGCCCAGAACAGTTAATACTACTGCAACTCTGAGAAAAGACGTTTGCTTAGTTTTTTTTTTTCTTGCCAATCCATAGTTAAGTAGAAGCTAAAAGTATTATTTTTCACAACTGACAAAGGAATTTCTTTTATACAGATCAGTCAAGTATCACCAAAATATTATAAGCACTCTGATAAAGCATCTTACCCTGACATCCCTCCTCGATTCATCACATGGCCTGGTCCTGACTGACCAGGCATGCTTCTATCACCACCTAAGTCAAAACAAAACAAAAAAAAGGGGGGGGGGGAAATACAGACTTTTGTATTTTCCTAATAAAAAAAGACACCTTGTTCCCAGAATTTTATTTGCTTTCTTGGTAATGCTGTTAAAGCTCCACAGGAATTTTAACTACTGCTAAGAGTTCAGCAGCAGTAATTCATAGAAAAAAACCACAATCACACTGGTAAGCAGCAAGTGTACCTTGCCATCTCTCATGATCCCGTCCCATCATTCCTCCATCCACATTTCCCTGCCATGAACGATCTTGGTGCCCCTCTAACTTTCGACCATGATCTCCCCAGCCACGTCCATCTCTTAAAAAAATAAAAGAACATCTTCTAGATGTGTCCCTTCTCCATTTATCAGTATAGGGTAAAGCCAAACACCGTACCCCATACAGACGCGTACTGAATTGTTCATCTGTATCTTATAGCCACCCAATCACTGCAATAATAACCAGTCAAAAAGAAATGGTGAGAAACTTGCTGAGCAGCATCCTTCGCACAACAAAGCTTGCTCTTCTTCTCATCTACAGAGACATCATTAGTATCACAATGTACTGAAATACTTAAATATGGAACAACTCGTTGACCACCATTCCTCTAACTGGTGTATTTATGTAGAACCAAACATCATGCACCTGGAACAAGCCTAGCTCGATTAGCTCGTTTAAAGAGAAACCACTATGATTCCAGATGAGTCTCAGTTCCCCACCCTCACTGTTGCAGAGATTCTGACTTGATTTCCTTAAAATATGACCGCTAGCCACAAATGAGACCTCTGTAGTCATTACTGGAACATCCGGTACAGGACTGAATCTCATCTGTAGAAAAAGAGTTATTTACAAGAGAACCACAGTTAGGAGCTTAGCTAACTAAGCAGCACTTCCTTACTCACTACAATGCTCCATTCTCTTTATGCACCAGGAAGCTACATGGGTGAAATCCTTGCTTCTCCAGATGCTCAAAGAAACTATTTGAAGAGAGGATTCACACTTGTCAAACTGCTTCCACTGTCACTCTTCATTTGGAGATTCACCAAGCATTAAAATATTAATAACCAACAAACCACTTCCTTTGTTTCATATGCACTAACCGGGTTTGTGGAGGCATCCCTCTCCCTTCATTCATTCTTCTGTCAGACCCATAACCACCCCAACTATCCCGGGAGTGACGATCAGGCCCTCCATGGCGTTCATCTGGGTAATGCTGGAAGACAAATGGTACAGTTAGGCTTAGAATCAATACAGGTTTTCTTTTAGGATTGCAAAAACTCAGGTCCTCAGAGGCAGCCTTTCTATAAGCTGTCAGAAAATGCAATAGTAACTGTCTCATTTTTTTTACTGGTTCCATCGTTGCTACTATGCATGGTTCATAGTAGGCATTTATTTTGTTTCATAGCACAGGTACCACTCCACCTGGTGGTGGGAGGCTTTTGTTTGGTAGGGTTTCTTGTAGAGCCTTTTTGTTTGTTTGCTTGGGGTTTTTAAGGGTTTTAACATTCCGGCTCCAGATTTCAAGTTTTTACATAGAATATCTACATACTCCCTACGCCTCTTCAGAAATTAAAGGTTTTGTATACCATCGTGGTACCGATTTTCACACCTGTGCTTTTGCAGTCATCTGCCTTGTTCCATATTTTCTACAAACCACTTATCCAAGTGTCAGAGAAGGAATCCCTCATCAGCTAAGGGTAAAGCACTAGAGGTAACTACCTCTTAATGTAATATAGACACCAAAGATGGTTAACCAGAAAACTTCTACCACCACACACCAGCCTGAAAAGATCCCATACTGTAGCTCCCATCACTTGGAGGTTTCCCTCTGCCCCAGTCGGGGCTACTGCCCTAGCAAGAAGCTAGTAACTTACATTCCACAAGTTAGTGTACAAAATCAGTTGCTTTTGGTGTTTGCATTTAAGAATTACGGATCACGCACACTGTGTCCTTTCTGCTTTGGGGTCAGTTTGTTTGGCTTTCTAACTGGAATAGTTATATGGGTATAACCCACCTGCCCATCTCGATCTGGTATTCCTCTTGAGCCATCTCTTCTGGAAAACAAAACAAAACAAAACTTTCAGCTGAATCGACACTGTAATCATAACTCCAATGTCTATATGAAATAGAGAATGAATATTTATATTTGTTAGGCTGTAAATCTGAACACCAATGTTTGTTTAGTGTTAAGATATTCAAGTCAGTTCTTACTTCATAGCATAGAATGAGATGAAAGTAACATCTATTAGTGTAATATGGGTAAGCACTGAGGCATGGTCAGGTACTCAGTGGTACCAAGAGAAAATACCGAGTGAAGCTACCAGTATCAGAAATGAGTTACAAGCAAAACCAAAGTGGTATGCTTTATGTCAAAGATCTTTTAAAAGCAAACCAGAAGTCTCAACAGCACTATGCAGAAAGTATTTTTGCATTCTGTGGAACTAAAAATCTGCACTAGCTAGGCTGCACAGATGGAAGTAGAGAAAATCTTAAAGCAAAAGGAAATGGCTAAAATTTAGGCTAATGAACAAGGATTCACACACATGAATCCTTATTTCCACACATCTTGAGAGGAGCTGTAGGATCTCCCTCGGCATCACAGCAAACTACGAGGCTTATAATCTTTATGCAGGCAGGCTCTTTCAACTATGTCCATAAACAATGGAAACACAGGATTGCAAGCAGGTGTAAAATCAGACATGAAATGTATACAGGTGATTTGTTTTGCTCTTCTCTTTTGGAATCCTTCAAACCATTAGTATGATGCAGAAGGACAGCCAATTTCCTTAAAGGTATAGAAAGAAAAGACACTGCCTTGCCAACCTGTCCAAACAATGATCTTGGTATCGACCACGATCCCTGTGGTCGAAGTCGTGGAAGCGGTCTTGACGACTAAATTCAGAATGATACCGATCATCAATTGCCATTCGCTTCGCCTCTGGCCAGTAGGGGTCATCTCGCCTGCAAAGGTCATGATTAGTAATCTCAAAACAATCCTCATTTCTTGCTCTCTTGCTATCAAACCTCAACTCAACCCAGTTACCCAAACAATCATTTTTGGTTTATAATTTGCCTGTTAAGCAGGTATCACATTTTAGTTTCAGAGGAAGCCAGGTGTATCAACACTATACAAAAAGCTTAATTTCATCATGTGCTGACTTAAGAAGAGAATGAGTATCTGTTCTCTCTAGCAATCCTGCTGGAAAGTTGATATAGTTCCTGTTGTTCATAATCCACCTTTGGGAAATAAGAATTTTAAACCTGGTGTAATAAAACTGTGCTTACAGCTATTCCAGTATGACATTTGCTCTCTCAAGATCAACATTAAAGTGTTAAAAGCAAAATGTAAATACTTTCAGACCTGAACTCCCATGTCTGCTTTAGCAGGAGTACTCACAATTTACACAGGCTTTAGAACGCCCTATCTGTTACTGGATGTGGCTGGAGAGTTTGGAATCTCATTGCAGTTACCGTTACCTGCCGTCAGGGTCATAAGGCCTTCTCATGGCAGATCGCCGTTCTTGTTCGTAGCGTAGCTGTTCCTGCTGTCGTCGAAGCTCTTCCCTCTCTCGCTGGATTCGTTCCTGTTCTCGTCTCCTTTCCTGCTCTATGTGCATTCTTTCTCTCTCTAGCCTCTCCCTCTCCAAGCGCTCTCTGTCAAGACGCTGCCTTTGAAATTCAAGTCGTTCTCGTTCTCTCTGGAGCCTCTGTCTTTCATCCCGTTCATGAATAGCTTGAAGCCGTTGTTCTCGTTCTCGCCTCTCTCTCTCTCTAATAGAAAAAAGATTTTCTACTGAGAAGAAAATATCCAAGTCTAAGCTTTATCGATGCTTTGTTTTGTGTGGGGCTTCTTGTTTTCTTTTTAAGTTTCTGTGTTCTTCCCACCACTTGCTTTAAAGGGCAGTGATCTATTCTCTAATACATTGCAGATGCTTAGTTTAGGGAAGGGAAAAAAAAAAAGTGCATACAGATGAAAGAAGCAAGGTTAAGCCTTCTGCAAGAAGTAACACATATCTACTCCAAGTCAGCTCTGAAAAACCTTCCATAGAGCACACTGTGTCCTAAGATTGAAGTCTGACTAACAGGGAGTATGTACTTCCAGGGAAAAATATAGTATGGAAATTCAAATCTGATCAAGTAGAACGTGTGACCGTAAAGTGCCTACAAAAATGATGACTCAACAGGAGTCTCCTGAAAAGACAGGCTTAGAGAAGGATTGATTTCAGTAGTAAAATCCTTCACAATATGGCTTTATGTCTGTTCTATCAATAAATTAGTATCAAACTGATCTGAGATAGTCATGTCAGAGGGCCAGCACTACTTTGCAGCCTATTCAAAATACAGTCAAGGGAAGTAAAAACAAATCTAATTCAAAATTTAGAGTGAAACTGGGAAAACTCACCGGCGTCTTTCTGTTTCCCTGATTTCTCGCTCCCTCTGTCTCTGACGTTCTCGTTCTCGTTGTTCTTTGATTTTATCAAAAGACAAAATATCTTGCTTTTCTTTGCTCTCGGATTTGCGATCCTGGCTTTTTGTACTCTGAGTTAAATAAAAACAATACATTAGCTGAACACAGTGCATTCTTAGATAGAATTCCTAGGCAAAAGGTCTACCTTACACCAACTTGAACAAAACAGACTCTTTTACCTATGCAGAGGTAAACTATGTAGGAATTGCATGGAAAAGTAAGTCAGGAAAAAGTACCCTGAAATTGGCTAGAACTGAAATTTTATATATATATATATATACTAAAGGCACATGGTCTGACTTGCATCAGTGGCAAATGATATACCACTTTAAAGGTCACCAGTCACCACATTCCAGGCTGAGCAAAATACATTATCTGAACACCATTTTCATACTGAAACTCTACTACAACTAGGACAAAAATGACAAAAACTATAAAGGTGATGTGTAAGTATGTATCTATGCAGCACCATTAACAACCTAATGCTTTCTAAAAAGTGATAAAAGGATAACTGTTCCCAAGATGCAAGGCAAAAACACCTTCAACCATATGCATATAAAGCTCTTTGACACCTACTTTTATGTAAAGGCTTCTCTGAAAGTGGTACTTACCCTCTCTTTTGATGCAGAAGTTTTCACGCTAATAACTGGCTCTCCTTTAGATTTATCCATTACCACTGTCCTTTCAGTTCCTCGACTTGCTAGAAAACAAGATACATCTGAGAATAAGAAATATTCGAGACATTCAAAAATTCTTGTGAGACTTAAAACCATCAAGATACTAAGGAGTAAAAGTTATTTTACTGAGATCTTAAATAACTTATGGAAGAACACATCTATGATTTAAAAAGCTTACCAAGATTTGGCCAATTGGGAGAAGGGGGCAATAAAGGTATCACAAAGTTACAGTAGTGTTTTCTGGCAGGGACGACAGCTATAAGAAAGCAAATTTAATTTGCTTTCTTCTGACTGCAAAATATTAAAATAAAAATAAAACCCCAAAACCACCACACAGAAAAATACACAGAACCACACAGTGTCAGGTCTAAACCCAGTGATACATCCATAAAAACTCACAGTTCAACACTTCGATTATTTAAAGCAGAAAGAGCTTTCAAGGTATTTTTTGTTGGGTTTTTGTTGAGTGGGAAAACCTCAGTATTACTGAGCATGCTTCATGGTCTTTTTACTGAATTATGAATCACATCTAATACAAATACTAAGGTTTGCAGAAGCTGAAGTCTTCAGATCAGTCATTCTGTATGTTTACACTTGTTCTTCCATTTTCAACTTAACTGACAAAAATTCTTTTTGGATGCAAGTTTGGAGCTTTATCACAGTCACTTAGATTTTTTTGCACCATTTTTTGTAATTTAAAAAAAACCCAAACAAACAACACACAAGTAGCCTTGAAAACGTTTCTGAAAGGTGGCTATAATTACCCGATTTGCTTGTCCTAGATCTATCAGAGGATCCGGCCTTTTGTTCATCTTTCTCTTTTCCCTCTTTATCGTCTTTTCCGTCTTTTTCTGATTTCTTAGCATCATCTTTCTTGTCAGTCTTCTCCTCCTTCTTAATACTAACAGACCTATAGGTAAACTTTGCTTTAATAGAGAACCTAACCAAAAGTACTACATAACAACTCTGATCAAGCTAATCATGTTTAAAAAAACCCACACATACACCACAACCCCAAAACCCACAAAAAACACACTCAACACAAAAACCCTCCAAAAATTACTGTCAAAAAACCTACTCACAACACCATCCATGCTGCTGTGCTGAAGCCAACAACTACTTGTATGCATGATTAAGAGTATCGATCAATACTAAACAAAAGCTGACCAAAAGTAATACACAACAGATAACCCTTATGATTTGGGAATTGGAGGCTTGAAGTGCTAAAAGTAAAGCCTTCTGCTCTGCCTACAAGTAAAGCTCATTCTTAGCATAGAGGGAAGAGGGGCATCCAGACAGAGGTCAAGCTCTGCCAGAGTTTTTGCAAGCAAATACCTTAAACACCTGATGTAAGCAGGCCAGCCTCCCAAAGCATCTCCTTTACCAAGTTTTAAAACTTTTATGAATGAACAAATAGTAGTAAAGCAAAATGCCACTTTCAAAGGAAACAGACCACTTGAAAAACAAATATTGAAGTATCACTCGCTAACCAAGCACACCATCTTTAAGACTAAATCCTGGAAATATTTGTCAGTGAAGAGAGCAGACCAAGCTAGAATCAGACTGGAGGATGAACAATTCTGATAAAAATAATGGTTTATATAGAAAAGAGATGGTTTGCTACTTTCCAAAACAAGTGGTAAGTTTGGATACTAAACCCTGAAGAGCTCTGTATTTCTCCTAAGAGGACCAATTAAGACGCACTTACTGCTGTAAAACACCAATTTCAACTTTTCAAGTATTTCTCCTATTTCAGATGCAGCAGGAAGCAGCAAATCAAGATTTAGAACAGTTACTGTTCACTTTGTTCACATGGCTGCATTCAAACAAGTGGCCTTTAAATAAAGAAAAATACAATAAAACACTTTACTTTTCAGATTTGGACTCTGCAGAATGGTGCCTGTCTTTTTCCTTCCTTGTTTCACCTTCCTTTTTGTCTGAAGGCTTTTTCCCAGCTGGTTCATTTTTGGCCTAGAATTTTAGCCAGAAATATTTTTATAATAACAGACAGACATTAAACTTGCACACTTTTATTTTCATTACACCATCATGGAATATTTACCACTTACCTTTTCCACAGAAATCATTTTTCCATGCAGCTCTGTTCGGTGGAGATGATTAATACACTTAGTGGCTTCTTCAGACGTTGACATTGTAACAAAGCCATAACAGCGAGCACCAGGACTGCGAGCATTTGTCACTACTTTTGCGCCAACCACCTTTGGGTGACAAAAAGTTATTTTGTGTTAGCACATCTATTGCCAATTACATTCTAACTTAATCATTGAGTGGCTCTATCTAGCAGCACCACACAGTATAGCACACATCCACTTTTAATAAGTGGCAAATATGCTCAGCACACAAGATTCCATCAGCATTCTCAGGAGATGATGTTGCTAGGCTTGCCTGACAGGCAGCAAAGGAAAGGTTATCATTTTAACATGATGTCAACACTGTTGGTCCAACCATGTTCTAGAATTTCCTCACTAAAGACTACTCCACAGAATATGATGTGAACAGCAAAACAAACATAGCTGAAAAGGTTCAAATTTAGGATTATTCCATGTATTCTGAGAAAAGCAGAAAGCAAACACATATTACTATGAAAGAGATAAATCTGATTGTGGAACAGATTCTTGCTAGAGCTCTGATGGAAAAAGGACACCATAATAACCAGCTCATAAATTCATCTTCAAGTTGCTGAGCAGATCAGTAACTTAAGACATACATAAGCAGAGGAGAGCAGGGGTGTGATAATAAAAATAATTATGACAATCTCTGATAGCACAGAAGTATGTACTTAGTGACACAAACTTTTACATTCAGAAATATATTAAGAGCAAGGGAATAAGGCCATAGAAAGAGTTCCATTCCACAACTTCTGCTCTCATATCCCAACTAGTACTGAAGAACAAATGGAAGCCTGCCTTCAAAAATGAGATTTCTCAAAGGAACACCCCTTGAAACGGAACAGTGTAAAACAGCATTAACTATCACTGAACATCCAATAGGTATAGTCAGACTATAGCACACTAGATGACAACCACCACCAGTCTCTCTCCTGTTGAGAATTGCCTCAGTTTTACAGGTGTCTATACAAAGATACTGCCCTCACCCCCAATTTCAGACAATCCTTATGAAGTATGCTACTTTCAGATAGTTTCAAAAGAACATGAAAAAGTTAAGTGCTTAGCCTTCCCAGTTATGCATTAGGAAAAATAAGGGCTACATTTAAGGTCATTCTTTTCAGTTGATAAAATGGTTACTTTACAAAACCGCTACATACCTTTCCATACTTGCTGAAAAGATTCTTTAAGTCTGTAGCTCTAGTAGAGGATGACAGTCCACTAACCCACAAATTTCTGCCAGAACCACTACCCACACGGCCTGAGGTACAAAAAGTCAAACATGAAAGACCACGTAGCAAAAGAACTCAACAGCAAAAAATAAACTGCCCTACTAACCTCACTTTTTTTTCTTCAAATGCAATTTTACTTCTACCTCTTCCAATCTTAAAATCAACATACATTGCAGTCTGAAAAAATGAACTTCTGAACTCAGAGTGCATTTGAGTAGTCTTAATAAGTTTTTTGCTACATGTTGTATTCCTACACATCAATTAGTTTTATGAGAAAAATGGAGTATTAAATGCTAATTCACAAAAGAATTAAGATTTTAAAAAAAAAAAAAAAAAAAGCTGTGTTGGCTAGTAAGGTTACAGAAGTTACATGAATTGACATTACAATTCATGCTTTGAAGGTCTATGTTACAACTGCATTCAAAGTTCCATGAACTAACAGCCCTCAACAGACTCTGCCACGCAGAGTCTAAGCCTACAGATTCAGGCATCTGTTGAGATTTTTCAGATAAATCCTGGTCTTGCCAGTACCTGTCACCATTCACAAAGCCAGTGGGACTCCAATATAACTATTACAGTGAAGATATATAAATATTGAGGGAATTAACAGGACAAAAAATTAGCAATGCAAGAAAGGCAAGTCAAAAAGTAATTGGCACTATTATTCTATTTGCTCCTTTGAATATTCACTTACCATAACTGACTCACAAGAAATGGTAAGACTTAGGTTATAATAGGTGTGACAGGTAATATACCCTGTAATACACTTTTTTCCAAGTCATTTGTACATTAATTAAAAAAAAAAAAAAAACACACAAACGACATACCAACAACCATACCTTTTTCATCTTTTGAGACTCTCCTTGTATCTCTGTCCTCTTCATCAGGGCTAAAGACAAAACACCACATTATTCAACCAACTGTACACAAAAACAATGCTAATTCTAGACTGTGCACTAAAATTCGATACCTACCAGTACATTAACTCTGAAATAAAAGCTCTTTTCAAATTTATAGAATAACAGAAAAATATGGGATTCGTATCCTTAAATGGACAATTCAGTTTTGCAGATGACAGAAATAAGAGTAATTTAAAAAAAACAACCTCTAAAGGTTGAGG